TAAAAATATATATATATATATATATATATATATATATATATATATATATATCGAATCGTCTGTGGCTTCCCAAGTCTGATCTATTTCTTATGTTGATTCCATGAACGATCTTCACGAAGCCTTGTAGATCAAGGTGATTCCATTGTTTTGTGATCAAATCGAAATTTAGTATTAAATGAGATGGTATGCATATGTGCATAAAATAAATATATTTAATAATTTTATAATTATAAATCAATACTAAATAAGTAATAAAAACTAAATATATGATGAAATTAATATTTTATAACGAAAAAAATTGTATTAGTAATAAAAAACTTAGAGATTGAATAAAATAATTTATAGTAATTTACAGTATTTTGTGAGGAAAGATACAACACTTTCCTCACATGAGTTAACTTTTTTGTTAATAAAAAATAAAAAAAATTAGAAAACTAAATTATTTATCAACTTAATATTAAAAAAAAATCAATATATGATTTTGAAAGGAAAAAAAACCTATCAGGAAAAATATTATAGCAATTGATAATATTTTATGAGAAAAATTATAGTATTTATCTTAATAAAATTGATAAAAATAATTTTAGAAAAAAATATAAAAAACCATTTATAAAAATATTGTAGCAATCCACAATGTTTTACGAGAAAAAATAAAACACTTTTCTCTTATGATTTAGTTTTATTGTAATTATAATTTTTAACCAACTTAATATTAAAAAAAAATTAACAAAGATAATTTTAGAAAAAATCATATGGAAAAACATTGTAGTAATTCACAGTGTTTCAAAGAAAAAAAAATACAAAGCTAAATTCCCAACTAGCTCAATATTAAAAAAAAAATCGATAGAGAAAATTTTGGAAAAAAATAAAAAAAGGAAAAAAAAAGGAAAAATAGACATGTTGGAAACACTATATCAATTCACAGTGTTTTGTGATGAAAGTTATAATACTTCCTCACATGATTTAACTTTATTTGTAATTACTTGTAATTATAATTCTTAACCAGTTTAATATTAAAAAAATAAAATTAACAAAGAAATTTTAAAAAAAATGATAAGGAAAAAAAACCTATGTAGAGAGACATTGTAGCAATTTACAGTATTTGTAAGGAAAGATACAGTGCTTTTTCTACATAATTAAACTTTATTCCAAAGTTAAATTCTAACCAAATCAATATTAAAAAAATAAAATCCACAAAGATAGTTTTGGAAAAAAATATTACAAAAAAACAAATGCTGTAACAATCCACAATAATTTATGAGGAAAGTTACAATGTTTTTCTCATATATTGTAATTGTAATTTTTAACCAGCTCAATATTAAAAATAAAATCAACAAAAATAAATTTGAAAAAAATCATAAAAAAATTCATATAAAGAAACACTATAGCAATCCACAATATTTAAAAAAAAATTACAAAACTAAATTCTCAACCAGCTCAATATTAAAAAAATAAAGTCAACAAATATAATTTAAAAAAATCATAAAAACAATAAAATAAAAAAATCATGTGGAAAAACACAGTAGCAATCCATAATATTTTAAGGAAAAAAATTATAAAGCTAAATTTTTAACCATTTCAATATTAAAAAAGTAAAATTGGCAAAGATAATTTTGAGAGAAAAAAATATTATAACAATTTACATTAACATGTGAGGAAAACTACAACACTTTTTCCACATATTTTAACTTTATGTATAATAATATCATGATAATATAATGGATGTGAGTGAACAATAGTCCCCACACCCTTTAGCTAATAACATGATATTTTTTTTTCTTGAAATTATTGTTTTTAACTATACGAGATAAACGATAACAAAATTAAGTTCAATTAAAAAGAAAAAAATTTCACCAAACTTGTAAATCAGAGCAACTTGGATTATCCTAATAAATAATAAATCATTTTAATCTAGTAAAAAGTTAAAATGAAAAGAAATAAATTACAAGATCGAATTTTTAATTACATTATTATTAAAAAAATAAATAAAAACAAATTTAAAAAAAATAATAAATTAAAAAAAAATAAAAAAATAATACATTATAAATTACTATTGTAATTCACAATACAATAAATATGAATAAACAATAATTTTTATATACCATTTAACTTGTCTATTAATGAATGTTGGAATATTATGCAATATTTGTAAGAGTGATGAGTTGAAGCTACATTTATGAGATTGTAAATATTATGACTATAATTATTTATAAAATAAATTTAAAAACAAGCTATATTCCAATTTATTTTACAACTGACTTAGTCGGCACTATTTTCTTTTTTGAATACTCATTAGATTTTGGTTATTTTAATTTTTCTTTTTAATTTCATCAAGTTTTCATAATTTTAATTTATTTTACATTCTATGATTTATTCAAAATATCAAAAAAATCTTGATGTTAAATTGATATTTGATTCTATAAAATATAATGTAATTTTATCAATTAAAAAATTTAAACAATAGGATCAAATTTAACATGAATGAAAAGGCCCTTTTTCTTTTTTAATGTTCATGGGCGTAAAAACTTCAATTTGATGCATGATTTTTTTTTATTTTTTTATCCTTATATCTTACACCCAACATTCTAGCCACAGGAGATCGCCGACAAAATCAACCAATAGATGACTCATCACTTGTCTGTCTAACTAGGCACCGAGAAGTCTATTGTCTAAATAAATTTGGAAAGCAACGCCTTGTCTACTAATTAAAAATATTAGATGCATGGACATCTACTTTCACGAATATATGCATGGACATCATTTAAAAAAATAAAAAAAAATCTTTTCATTTTTTTTATTAAAATAGCATTTTAACAGCTTTCCAATTAAATCATTGCTTTTAAAAAGATTATATTTTTTTATGATGGTATTATTGAGTGATTCATGAATAATTATGAATTAGTCTAATTTGTGAAATTTTTAAAATGATTTTCTCAATAATATCGAGTAAGAATAAAATATTTATTTTTTGTATAGTTGCTTCAAATTTATTATTCTTACAACTTTTAATATACATGCATGGAATGACAATGATTTTCTAATTTTTTAATTAAAACTTGCTTCAACAATTATAATAATTTTTTATTTAAACCATGCATGAAACTTATTAAAAGAATTGTTTAGTTGTTAAAAGAAAGAAATTACATGAATCAAAAAGAAAAAACAATTCTCCTTTATAATCTTATTTTTTTTATATTTCTTATAAATATCTATCTTTATTATTATAAAATCAAATAAAAAATAGATTTAAAAAATTCCCCACAGCGGCGTTCTATGTGGTTGCATATGAACACATTTAATTGTCAACTTCCTTCCACTCTCCTCTAATCTATAAACCCCCCCTCTCTCTATATATATATAAATGACTTCCATAGGACTCAAGAAGGTTCCCAAAGTGTTTGACTTTTCCATAAGATCAACGCATGGCATAAATATATTACTTAAATGTAATTATTTTAAGCAATTATAATAGAAAAGGCTATGAATATATTTTATGAAACACAAACAACCACGGTAAATTATTTAAACTGAAATTGAGAATGTGATTGAAATTATATATTTTTTTAAATTTAAAAATTTTTATTTAAAATTATTTTTTTATTTTTTTATATTTTTTTGAAACACTAATATTAAAAATAATTTTTAAAAATTAAAAAAATATATAATTTTAATATATTTCTAAATAAAAAATACTTTAAATAAAAAATTTATGTTAGTTAGAGACACTTCCCTGGTGAAAGTCTCTGGCTCCTTTCATCTTCTTAATTATGAAGCATCCCAGCTAGAAACTTGAGTCCATGATGTCACTCATTGCTAGCTTTTAGATTATCAATGCTCTTAGTAGGACTCACCTTGTCTAGGAATTTAATTTTGAGGGTTTAGACTGATTGGTGAATGATTTTGTTTCTTTTATACATATATATTATTGTTAGAGATTTAAATGAAAAGTATTTTAGTTTAAGTAAGTGATCATCCCTACCACAAGATCTTAAAATTAATAAAAGGACCGCACGTACAATTTATTCTAATTATTTAATTATATTAGAAGATAAAATATAATAATCAAATCGCCCAAGCCTGGTCTATTTCTTTAATTGGCTCCACGGTCCATATCTTCAAGATGCATGACTTTTCCATAAGATCAACACGTGAGTTCTATATAATCAACACATGACATAAATGTGTTACTTGAATGCAATTATTCTAGATTATTATAGTAGAAAATGCCATGGATAGATGCCATCAAACGCATTTAACAATCATTACATATAAGACTCTCTCTTAATGTTTTTATCAATAGCTTCGACGGGGACAAAAGAAGATTCTGCATGCTTTATTTTTTCTTCAAATCTACTAATATAAAGTTTTTGAAATCTGAAATATTTATTCTCAATTTTAAAGATTAATTTCTATTTTATTATTAATTAAAAAAAAAATCAATCGTGCCAGGGTCATTGTTTTAACTCTTCAATGATTGGCGCTAGAATTTCCTCTTCTTCTTTTTTTTTCCTTTTTTTTTATAGAAAAATTGAATACAGCGGATCTAATATTAAAAAACCGAGTGAATATAAAACACGTGTTTGATGTTTTGTGAATATTAGACACGGCTGATCTCTAACCACGCGGTCCGTATTCATATCGGAAGAGCTCCCCTATAAAAACCCTCGCTTTCCAATTTTTCCTTCCACAAAAAGAAACACACGCTTGTGATCCTTCCTTCTGTCATGGAGTGGGTAAGAGGGCAGTGTATTGGATCCGGCAGTTCTTCTAGGGTTCATCTTGCAACCCTCAAACAACATCCGTCGGTGCTGGCAGTGAAGTCTTGCGCAGAATCTGCCACCAGTCTACTCGAGAACGAGAGGGAAGTTGTCACGGAGCTTGGTTACTGTCCACAAATCATCCAATATTTCGGCGACAGCCATACTGTTGAAGAAAACAACGAGCGTCTATACAATCTGTTGTTGGAGTACGCTAAAGGGGGCAGTTTATCACAAAAACTCAACAAATTTGGTTGCTTTCAAGAGCGAGATGTCCAAGATTATGCAAGATCGATTCTTAAGGGTCTGCGTCATATCCACGCCAAGGGTTTTGTTCACTGTGACTTGAAACTTGATAACATATTGTTGTTTGAGAATGAAGAAGTAAAAATTGCAGATTTTGGGTTGGCAAGGAAAGCAGGAAAGGCACAGGGGAGAGCGGAAATTAGAGGGACTCCTCTATATATGGCCCCCGAGTCAGTGAATGACAATGTGTACGAATCAGGGGTTGATATCTGGGCTCTTGGGTGTGCTGTTATTGAGATGTTGACAGGGAAACCAGCGTGGAGTTGCAAACCAGGGACCAATATGTTTGTATTGTTGATCAGAATTGGGAAAGGTGATGAATTGCCAACAATACCTGAAGAATTGTCCCAACAAGGCAAAGATTTTCTGTCGAAGTGCTTTGTCAAAGATCCTAAACGAAGATGGACTGCTGACATGCTTCTGGAACATCCTTTTGTTGCTGATCAAGGGAAGGGCACTGTTCCATTGAGAGAAGAAATTGAAGTGCCATCAACTTCACCAAGATGCCATTTTGATTTCCCAGATTGGGTTTCAATTCAATCACCATCACCAAGATCGGAGTTTTTGTCCGATGATGGAGTGGGATTAGTCTTTTCTTCATTAAATTCTTCTTCTTGGATCTCAGCAGCAGATAGAATCCGGCAACTCGCGAGTGATCAATGTTGCAATTGGTCGGATTCTGGATCCTGGGTCGCTGTTAGGTGAGCCAGAGTCAAAGCAGAGAAGGAGATTCAAGCAATTGGGAAGATAACTTTTCATTAACATCGACCTGTTGATATTATTCATTTAATTTTTTTTTTTTACAGTCACGATTGAAGGCTCAACGGGTTGAGCTCCCTGTACAGATTTTTCTAATTTTTTTGCTTTGAAATACAATTTAATTGCTTCACCAAGAAAGTTGATCCCTCTTTTTTCCCTTACAGCTGCTATTATTGAATATGGTTGTCATAAAAAAAAAATTATAATTATTTTAACAGTCGAGGGCATGAATCTCTGCCCTGCAAATGATAGCTATGTAATCTTTTTCTGGGTTTTCTAGAGGCATAAAGAAAGCTTTTAGGTTTGATTCTTCCTTTTCTATGTTAGGAGAGAATTTAGTAAGATCGATTGACTAGATTCGAAAGTATTTTCCTTTTCTTTTTTCTTAATCCGATGTGAAATTGCCAATTTGGTTAAATTAGGAACTTTTCTGTTGCCAGTGAGAAAAAAAAATATTTTATTTCTTTCCGTCTTCTAATGGGAAAAGGCCCAACTTGTTAGACCTGATGAAGAATCAGGGAAGCATCCTGGAAATTGTTCTCTAAGATACCTTGGTGGGCACCGCCGTCGTGACCCAATGGCATTCGTCAGGAACAGCAGTGGTAATTTCTCTCCCAATCCGAAGACTGAGGCAACGCCGAAAGAGACCAAGTATTCTATGTGAAAACAGGCCAAGAAAGTCACCGCAGTTTGTTCACGACCGGCGGCGTTTGCTGAAGAGTTTTGTCACCACCACCTCTGTCGTTTCCATAATCGTAACCCCATTTAAAAGAAGAAAAAAAAATATAAATGATTAAGAAGATTTGATGGGACCGTACAACTTCATAGTAGATCAGATGGAAAGTTGAAAGCAATGCATCAATCAGTGGCATGGTATAAACAATAATTTATTTATTTATTTATTATTAAAATTTATTTGGTCCCGAATATATTCCACATTTTACACGAGGGAACATGCCCATTGATTTGAGAAGGACGCATGGCCATTTGGAGCATGCGGTCATTGAAATACTATAGTGCACACGTGGGCCTTTACATCAGGCAACATGTTTGGTCACAACAACTTATATTGACTTTCCTTTGCGTTGAAATTATTTTATTATTTTTTAGGTCGAAAAGGACAGAGAACTCTCGTAGGCTCTACGCGTTTCCAAGTTCTTAAGAATGGATTTCTTGCACTCAGCTAAAACGAGCCCGAAATCTAAACATAAGTTCGAAGCAAAGTCTCGAAAAACTCAGGTCGATCGGGCGGCGTTGCCTAAGCACCTGCAGTCCGGATTGAGCCCTGCTTGCTGCTTATACAAATCTGACTGCCCACAGACAAATCTAGAGGTAAATTAGATTTTATCTCAGATTGGCTTAAAGCTACAACCACAAGCAACTTTACCAAGCTATTTGGTGCCCTTTTTATTGATTGGTTTCATTAAGGGTCTATTATTTACCATAAAATATTTTAAAAATAAAAAGAATATTTTATACACAAGATATTTTTTAATATTTGACTTGAAAAATATTTTTTTATATTCAAGATAGTAATGATGGAAAAATAATGATAATGATAATAGAAATATAAAAATAGTTGAAAATTTAGTAAGTTAATCACTATTCATAAGATATTTTATGAATTGAAAATAATTCCCAACAAAAAAAAATTAAATTTAAAGGATGACTGTAAAATATTTTTTTATTGATTAGTTTTTTTGTAAAAATACCTTGCAAGAAATAAATATGGAAAAATATTTTATAGAAATAATAAACATGGAGAAATTTATAAAATATTTCATGTAAAATATTTTATAAAATACAATCAAACATAAAATCTAATTTAATTTTCTGGATGTTTGTGAAGAACATACAGGATCTTCATGTGGGATTCCCTTGCTCATTTTTATTTCCTTTCTTTAAAGAAAAACAAATTTCTTGATTTACAAAGAGAAAAGAAGCGGACAATGAATTTATTTAAGCATGAATCTAGTCTCGTGGTTAGAAAAATAAATTAATAAGAAATCCCACCGACGAATCCTGCATGCATTTTATTTGATTTTCTTATTCTAATGGGTCCAAAATCTTCTCTGACAATCAACTACAGGTACTTTGCCAGTTGCCTCTTCTTTCTTTTTTTTTTGGCAGATTTACTCATTTTACCTGGTTGCCATATGAATATTGTTTCTTGATTGATAGAACTTTAGTTGCCTGCAAAACCTAGCTTGCTAGTTTAAATATTATTGTGAAAATACTATAATAATTACTGGTGAATATTGCAGAAGAAACACAAGATTTAATGTGTTTGAAAGTATACCTCTTACTGCAACTCCATCTATGACTACTGTACATAGTAATCTAAAAATATCTCCTAATAATTTATATCCGTTCATTACTGTCATAACACATTTATTTAGCTTCAATACTCCATTTTTAAACTTGAAATCCAACCCCTTATGGTTTATGGTCTATAAAGTGAGTAATGAAATTTAATTCTTTATCAAATCTAGAATATGTTTAACATCACACAAATTCTAACAATACCATTAAATATTTTAATTTTAACATTCCATATTCTTAAAACTTTGCTTGGATTATCATTACCCATTAGAACTGAATCAAAATTAACAAACTTGTAGATATTTAACCGATATTTATTTAATTTCATATTATAAGAATATACTGAAAACAATGTCCAAGAATTTATGAGATGATCTGAACTAGATGAAATATAAATCATATCTCCATCGCCGATCTTTCAGTCTGTTTCCACTATATTCATAGACTTTGATAAACCATTTTTGTTCTCTGTATCTCCTTCTTTTTTTTCTCAGGATATTCTCATTTTATATGCCTTGTTTTTTTCGCACTTATAACACTATATGTCCCTCCTTTTCCTAGATTTGGACCAAACTTTATTGTTTCTCAATTCATTCCAGGATTTGTTTCTCCTACACTTTTGATTACTCCTTACCACTAGTCTTTTGTCTTGTGAATTTTCATCGCTAGCTTTCTTTTTTAAATTAAAGCTTAATAGGACACTTGTGATCTCTTCTAGTACAAGGGTTTCCTTCCTCCACATTAGAGTTGTAACCACATTTTTGAATGTAAAGGAAGTAGATAAGGAATTCAATAACATCAACGTCTTATCTTCATCGTCGAATTTCATATCAATTTCATTCGAATAATTAATAATCTAATTGTACACATTAATATACTGATTCAAATTTGTGCCCTCCGACATCTTAAGACCAAACAATTTTTGCCTAAGATAGAGTTTGTTTAACGATGATGTGGACATATGTTGACTTTTTAGTTTTTCCCAAACTTTCACTAGCAATTCCTCATCCATGACATGATACATCACATCATCATGTAGACAAAGCCTAATAGTTGCCACAATCGTCGCTTTTAATTCCTGCCAATATATGTCATTCATAACTTCCAGTTGTTTTTCATATAAAGCCTTCATCATGCCTTATTGGACCAGTATATCTTTTATCATTCTTTGCCATAATCCAAAATTTCCAAATCCATCAAACTTAACCATATTGAATTTTGGAGAAGAAATCATTGACATCGTAGACAGGTTTTGATGCTAATTGTTGTAAAAAACTTGTGATAATTGATACGACCAAAAAATTGATATTTTTGTCCCAAGTGCAAGAGTGTCGAAGTAATAAATAACCCGGCAAGACCGAGGTTGAACCATAGGGAGGTTAATTGTATAAATTATAAATAATAATAATATAACAACAATAACAATAATAATACTAATAATACTACTAATAATAGTAATAGTAATAATACTAGTAATAATAATAGTAGTAGTAATAGTAGTAGTACAGAAGAAGAAAAAGTTGATGAGAACTTTGAAATGAAATATTAATGTAAGGATTAAACAATGATAACAACAAATGTTAAGGTTAGAGGATCCATTAATAATATATCAAACAAATATAGTATAAACTCTTATTACTCAAATAAAAACCACACACAAAGGAGGTTCCAATCAGATTACCAATTGTTAACATAATTACATTAATTATCTTATTTAATTATGCTAATACTTGTAAATGTTGTCAGGCATTCATGATTATAACTTATGTTAACAACAAATCAAGTTCCTTTCATAGCTCAGGTGTCGGTTATACCATACAGTATGAACTATGAAAGTGCCAAGCATTTGTTGTACCAACTGTTATACAACATAAATCAAGATTAATCATTTAACAAGCAAAGTATTAAAGAGTGAACAAGATAACAAATACAAAACATATTAGTATCAAACATTAAAGTCCATATTAAGTTTACACTATACTTATTCTTACACCATTAGTGTAACCTTTTCACCTTGACATAACTAACTTAGCTAGACATAATGAAAGAAAGAAAAATAAATAAACAAAACAAGAACATAAACAAGATAAAAGTTAACTAAGTAAAGGAAAGGAAATGAAAGGCATAAACTTGATATTAATGAAAGCAAAGCATAAACATTACAAAAAATACAAAGAGAGAAAGGAAGAGCATGATCTTGATCTGGAAACCAAGATGCCTAAATGCATGGCAAATGCCTCCTTTTATAGGCCAAAATTAGGAACTATTGATTTGATGACTAATTGATGAGTGGGTGGCCAACTCTTGACTTGGTGACAATCCTTATCTTCTCTTGTCTGCCCAAAACGTCATTGATAACGTCAAAATTGGAGCCAGTTGCAAACATGAAAGTTGTAGGCAATTGTCTCAGCTTTCTTGTGTAAAAACTTCAGCTCATTTGGACAAATGTCATTGATAACGTCAGAATTGAAACCACTTGAAAATATAAAAGTTGTAGAAAATTATGTCAGTTTTTTAAGGTAAAGAATTCAGATTATTTTGACTTCTAGAACTCCAGATATGACCAAAATACCGAACAGTGCTCGGGCTGGAAGACAGATTCGGGCTTCTTTGTTGTTGCTACAATTTGGACTTGATAATGGCCTTTTTAGTTAGGAGCCTAACCACCCAAAAGTCCAATCACCTAAGGGGTAATAAGAATTTTTTAGTAATACTCTTTTACCGTACCACAAGGGTGTTATTTTCACTATATGTTGTTCCACTCTGCTTTGCCTCACTCCAACATTTATCTATAAGTAACAAACTACAACAAATAT